CTTGTTCGCTCTCTCACCTTGCTGCGGAGAACTGTAAAGTTGCAGGGCTCCGGTTTTCTTCAGCCTGAGATGAGTCCACATTCACCCACAGCACCACAGCTGTCTTTGGCAGTTTATTTGTCTGTCAGGTAAGCTAAGAAACATTTTAAAAGGTGGTGTGTACATTTCCTAGTTCTTAGTTCTAGTTCTAGGAAATGGCGTCGGTAATGGAGAGCGAGGAGTTTGTAACAATTCAAGTGGAGGAAGTAGATGACTGTGAAAATATTGGTACGCTTACTTTGGAACAATTTCGCAAAATACTTTGTGACGAAATCCAGCAAGCGGTGGCAACGGCTTTCAAAGGCTTATTTGGGAACTCCTCAGACAGACAGACAGTCTTGCAAAATGAGGAAGAACTTTTACAGCCCTCATGGAACGTGGAGGAGGAGCAGAATCTCCAAGTGAGAGAACTACAGAGCACCTCTTCTCCAACTAGAAAAGAAACGGGATGTAAAAAGAAGCAAAAGAAGGTCTCAAAAGATGTAGTAAGAAAGTTGGGAAAGTTGAAACAGATAAGAAGAGTATTTCAAAAGAGATTGTATAAAATAGGCAGCTTAAGAGGAGATGGAATTGGGGACTAAAGGAAACCAATACAAATATTAGAAATAGGAACAAGGAGTGGATCCTAGTAGGCAGATTTCTCGGGTGCCTCAGAAGTAGAAACATGGAATGGGAGACAGGAGAGTCAAACTGGCAAATGCTGGATTTAAAGTTTAAAGTATATAAAGAGAAACAGCATTTAATAATGATCATTAAAAAAAAGGTGTCCCAGAATGTAGCAAATTCAGAGATGATTGTTGTAAAGATTGTTATTCCTATTTATATTTCTGTTTCAAGATAATTCTTGAACCCATACAGAAATTTATGGCAATGGCAACTGGGTAAGGGTAATATAACCAAGTAAAGAAACTGGAAAATGGAAAAAAAATGATTACTGGAGAAGGTTTTGAAAAAGTGTTTGAAAGAAATAAACATGAGCAAACGTAAAGAAATAGGGTGTATTAAGAGATATAAGGAAACAGATAGGATTAAAGAGATGGAAGGAAAGGAAGATGAAATTAAGAGGTTAGAATAGTGAAGGAACTTGATTTTTTTTGTTTGTGTATATTTAGGGGTTCCTCTCTTTAAGATTTAAAGCATCTTAAGTAAAGCCAATAAGAAGAAGGAAGGTTAAGATAAGTGAAAGAGCAAGGTGCTATAGTTGTAGGGTGATAATTGCAGCTGGTATTGTTACTTTACAGGGTGATAGTGGTTATTAGTAATATTATTTTTATCACTAGCAGTATTAAAAAAATTCTTTTTTCTTGGTGTTGTTGAGGTTGAAGTAGGGTTTCTTGTGAGTATATATTCATGTATAGGTTCTTAGAGATAAGAACAATGTGGGGTACAAGATAATGGAACATTTGTGACATAATCTTAAACAAACCGAGAAAGAAATCAAGGGGGTAGAAAGATAGACTATAAATTTCAGGATGTGTGGAAATAATGTGATTATGTTAAAAGGTATAATGAATTGTTACAGTGTTGAAAGTACATGGCATAAATTTTAAAGTTATAATCTATGTAAAGGAAAAGGCAAATTACTTAACAAATGATTTAATGTCTGATGCTGTGTTGGTTATAAGATTATGGTACTCTTTTCTTCTCTTTTTTGTGTGTGGAAAACTAATAAAAAGATTATTTAAAAAAAGGTGGTGTGTACAAACTGACACTGGTTGGAGGAAATCCCACCTCCTCTCCACCTGTCCCCTACCTCTCAGTTACTGTGCCTACCCATCCATTAATGATGTCTCAGTTGTCCTTTTATAACTTCCCTCTGGCTTCTAGTCAGTCAGAAAAGAGAAACAGTGAGAAGAAGCAGTTAGAAGCTGGAGAGGGGGGGGGAAGAAGCAGTTAGAAGCTGGAGAGAATATTTTTAAAGAACAGCAGAGCCCACAGCTACAGAGATTGGGGTGAGAGTGATCCTTCTCTCCTGCTTGCAAGGCTTTGCAGTTGCAGGCCCAGATATCCTTTTAAAACTTCCGCCTGCTATTTAGCCATTCATACTACAGGAAACACAGCACTGAAGATGAGCAAATGGCAGTGAGAAATCCTCCCCAATCCCAACTCCAATTCTGTTGTTGTTTCCTCCCCTCTTCCCCGCCCATTATCTCTCTCTGTTTCTCTCTCACTCTCAGCCAGTCAGTCTTTCTTGAGCTGGTAGAGGCAGAGAAGCAGTTAGAAACTCCTCCCCCGAGAAAGTTTTAAGAGGACACTGGAGCTCACAGCAAAAGAGGTAGGAGTGAGAAACTCAGATGTCCTTTTAAAATATCCCCCTATTTAGTCATTCATACTGCAGGAGGAATCCTCCCCAACCCCAGCTCTGCTTTTCCTTCCTCCCCTCTTCCCCCATTCATTATTTCTCTCTGTCTCTCTCTGGCTATCAGCCAGTCTATCTCTCACTGTCAATGTGGCAGGGCCTGGAGTAGATCCCTGCAGTGGTCATTTCAAAAGGTATGGGGGGGGGAATTCAACCCTCCCCAAGTTTTTTTTTTAAACATCTTGGATTTTTCTGAAGACCCACAGAGTCCCCTGAGTCTGTAGAAAAACCTGTTGGGGAAAAGTATGTCTTTTGTTTGCGGAAATAAATAGCTTCAGGCAGAGGCGACGTTGAGAATTAAATATATAGATATGCAGATACATTGTAACTGAAACCAAAGTACTTAGTCAACCATCTCACTGATAAAAACCAATAATTTGTGAAAATAAGCAGCTACAACACCATCTTGTCTGTCAACTGAAAAATATGTGGTCTTACCAACAATGTTTTACCTCAGCCTTTCCAATTCCTGACAACCCCATACCATCCCTACCTATTAAATAAAATCTTTATTATTGTTCACTGTACACAGTCTCCAGTGCTATTTCAAGGGATTAAAAAAGAGGGCTCGTGTTTTCTCCTGACAAGTTCCTGAGCTGGGCAAAAGTCAAATTAGATTGTCACAGGGTGGGACATTCAGATTTATAAAACCTCAAATATTATCACGCTACTGGGGGCTAGCTCAGTACCTAAAGGGAACTAATAATTTTGGTGGGAAAAATCTGCCTCATAGCAGCCCTGTCTGCCAGCTAATATAATATAATGTCCCCCTTAAGTTATACAGTTTGTTGGTACAGCTGACCTCTGGTGGCAGCCATAGCCTTGAATTACAGTTGCCACTCAAAGCATGCTGTTTAACCTATTTTGCCCTAAATGTATGTCAGCACATATAATCAAACCATCCCTCTATCTGCCTATCACATGAGCACCACCAGATAAGGGAATAGCTTACACTACCAAGACTCATGGTTACCGTATATACAATCAGAATACCCTTTCCAGGCCATTGAGAAGGGAGAATGATTGATAATACAGTAGAAACGCTGATCACAAAAATACTGTTGGAAGAAAAGGCTTGGATCCTGTCTCAAGCCTCAGCCCCGGGGGGGGGGGGGGGTTGCAAACAAGTCAGTTAGATATGCAAACTGCAAGTTTTCCTGGTTACTCACCTTTCACTGTTCTTTGAGGTAGACTGGTAGATTACAAGGAAATTGCCTTTCTTCCTTCCATTCTGCCCTCACACTCTCTCTCTTCTCTCGCACACATTCACAATGGAGGCTGGATGCCTCTGCATCTGGACCCATTTAAGGTAGCTTAGATTAGTTCTGTCTCTATCTCTTAAGCTTCACTATCTTGAATGCCGTTCCTAAATGAAAGGACTATTATCAGTCTTAAAATTGAAAAGCGGTTCTGTGTAACTTTGTAACTCTTCTAGCACTCTGAGAACAAAGGGCTTCTACTGTGTGTAGCCAAGGTGCACTCTGCTAAACTGAGAAGGGATACTGGACTAACTAACCAGTTACTCCCAACAGGTTATGGGCCCTTAGCTAGTTGTGGTGCTCAACTTAACTAGTTGTGGTACACAGGTCAGTTGGTTTCCTTTTGCAAAAAATGGACTTATCCCTAAGCTTCAAAAAGGTTTATAGGGCTTGAAGCAAGCTGCCAGATCTTGGAACTGCAAGCTGAATGACATGCTACTTCAGGTATTTCAATTTCAGAATCATCAAAATTCTGAAAATTGAAAATGCCTGAAGTAGCATGTTATAATAATAGTAGGGATGATCCTGTTTCTGATATCCCCACAACGAACACACTGCAAATGGAGAGTTACTCTTTTCCTTGCTGCTCCAGTCTTTACTGCTGTGTGGACAACTGGAACCAGACAGCAAGATTCCAGAAGCAGCACCAGACTAAAAGGCTTCCACATACTCCTGGATGTTAGAAATATTTTTTTTTTTACTCATATATCGCAGTATTTTTTTCCAAGGAGCACAGAAAAGCTCATTCATGGTTCCCAGGGCAGGTAGCTTCCAGGCATGGATTCCGTAACTGGGTTACTCCCTGTCTTGGATGACTACTCTGTCTCCACTCCACCCTCACCAGGCAACCAGGACCCTGAAGATGTCATTACAGAGAACAGATCATTTATTATCTTTTCCTGTTGTGGATAGGAGTAGAAACTCACAAGAGAAGGTGGTGTCACCTCTTCCCAGATTCCCAGCCAGTGAGGACCCTATCTCCTTAGTGGACGTTATTATTTAAATGTTGGAGCAAATCGGCAAAATGTTGGTGCAAATCGGAACCCATCAGTTCCACCAGTGACGACGGCTGCTCCTTGATGTTCTTGATTTTTGCCGTCTGCCTTGGAAAACAGCTATTTGTGGCGCTGCTTCCTTGCCAGCGTGGGGGGGAGGCTTTTTCTTACAGAAAGCGCGGGTGAGTCAGAGCCACGTTGCGCTCCCCGCACTCCGGACAGGCGGCGGTGAAGGAGAGGTGCGCACCCCCCTTCCCGCCCCGCCGCCCTTCTCAAGGCTGAAGCCGGACAACTTGCGGAGTTACAGACTCCACTGGGCGGGATGAAGCGGAGGGTGAGGAGCCTGTGCCGGCGGCGGCGCTTGTGACCACACCCCAAAGGGGGGAAGTCTTCGAGACGAGCGGGGGTGGAGAGATGGTGACAGGTGCCGTGAGAGCGGCTCTTGGCACCGAAAGAGGAGGGACGCCGGCTCCGGGGAGCAGCTGCGGGGAGGCCGGCAGCGATAGCGGCAGTAGCGACAGCGGGCGCCCGCGGTAACCCTCTCCCGCCCTACCCTAGCCAGCCCCTGAGGCGCTCGCAATGGATTCTCCTCAGGTGTCGGCGCTGGCGCATATCTTCAAAGGGACCTTTGTGCACTCCAGCAGCTCGTCGCCGATGGACATTCTGCAAGGCCACCTGTTGGGGGTTGAGGAAAGCGGGAGGGGGGGGGGGGGGGGGGGGGGGGGGGGCTGGGGGCTGCCACTCCGGCACGTGGACGGCCGTCGGAGGAGCCTTGCCAAACACGAGGGCGTGGGTGGGGGAGAGGTGGAGCCACGGGGGACTGCAGGAAGCCGTGGGGAGAAGAGCAGGCGGTTATATAACCCATGGATGCGGCGGGGGAGGGGGGGCGGCAGGGGGAAGGCTACTTGCTCGCGATGAGAGTCCCGCATGGAACCCCAGAACCGCGAGCAGAGCGAGCGAGGAAGTGTCGCGGCGTGTCAGAGCGCCACGACTGTTATATAAGACTGGGCTGTGAGGGCGAAAAAAGACACCGCTGAGGTGGAGTTGTGACCGAGGCGGGATGAGGGAAGGCGGGGCTTAGCTGGAACGTCCGTAGTCCTGGGAGACAGGGAAGAAGTCCCGCTTCCATTAGCAAGAAATTCGAGACGGGCTCCGCGAACCGGTGTCACACAATCACACAAACCCATTGGCTAGTGCTCTTCTTCGGGGTTAGGGTTAAGCAGACAGAGGTCGAATCTGCATTTGTCTTTCCCACCAGTGTCCCAGCCTTCTGACTCCTTCTTCAACAAAGCTGTCTACATTTGGTTTCATTTTCACACCTCAACAGTGCTAGCATACTTTTGCATCCACATATGTTTATCACCTTCTCATGGCGGCTCCACTGCCATTGTGCCTCCCCACTGCTTTAAAAGAATCTTCTACATACAGCGTTCAAACAAGCATAGAGAAAGATGGAGTCACAGCAGCACGAAACTGATTTTAAAATGCAGATAAACCAAAGAGCCCAGGGCATGGTGGAAACCAGTGTGCCCTCTAAGATGAGTTAGTGTGAGCTAACTCAGTTTTTGGACTCCGGCCCACACATTTTTGTCTTCGCTCAGGAAGGATGGCTCCAGAGCAAACTAATTTATGCATTAGCCAAATTGCTCACTCACCACTTTAATGCCAGTGGCTCACCAAGTAGAATTTTTGCTCACAAGACTTCACAGCTTAGAGGGAGCATTGGTGGAAACCCATACCGGAATGTGGTACAGTCTTAAAATGGCAATCCGGAGAGAGACCTTGGCAGGCTGTCTAAATGAGATTTTGCCAAATGCAAAAGATGACAGGTTGTGCCGAGGCGTGTTGGGATAGTCCTGGAAGGCAGGCGTATGAGTAGTTGTTTTAAATTGGGGGAAGCCACAAAAAAGTGATATAATTGATAAGCAATTTCTGGATGTTGTTTGCCTTAAATATGGACCAAACGGCTTTGGAATATGCATTGCTAATTCTTATAATCTTCATACATCTGGCATTACATGTTTGTGGGTATTGTAATGCTAGAAAAGGCTCTATATTAGCAACCTTTGGGTGTTTTCTTAAAAGTAGAAATGGTGTTGCTGCTGTCTGAACCCGCATTGCTTACATGTAGATTACAAATGAACAAAGTTTGAGTCAATATGTTGTTGAAGGCTTTCATGGACGGAGTTCATTAGCTGTTGTCAATTTTTCGGGCTGTATGGCCATGGTCTTGGCATTGTAGGACCTGACATTTCACCAGCAGCTGTGACTGGCATCCTCAGGGATAACACAGAAATATCCACCTCCATCGGGCGTTGCAAGCTGTGGCTGGTTGGCTCAGGCTGAGTCGACTGAAGCTAAACCCCGCAAAGACAGAGGTCCTGGGCCTAGGTCGGGTTGGTTCGGGGTTGGGGCTCCCTCTCCTGATCTTCAACGGGGTGCCTTTGGTACCAGCGCTGAGGGTTAGGAGTTTGGGGGTGCTCCTGGACTCCTCGCTAACAATGGAGGCCCAGGTAGCAGCCACTGTCAAGTCAGCCTTTTACCATCTGCGGCTGGCATGGCAGTTGGCTCTCTACCTTGTCCGCGATTATTGACTTGGCCGCGATGATTGACAACGGTCACCTCGAGGCTAGACTACTGTTACGGTCTCTACATGGGGCTGCCTTTGTCGCAGATCCGGAAGCTGCAGCTGGTGCAGAATGCAGCAGCCAGGCGGTTGATGGGTCTCTCTAGGCTGGGGCAGCCAGGCGGTTGATGGGTCTCTCTAGGCTGGACCACATCCAGCCTGTGCTGAAGGCGCTGCACTGGCGGCCAATAGCGTACCAAGTCCGCTTCGAAGTGCTGGTTCTTACCTATAAAGCCCTACATGGCCAGGGTCCAGCTTACCTAAGGGATCGCCTTTCCCCATATGTTCCCCCAAGGGCACTACGGTCTGGGGCAAAACATCTTTTGGTTGTACCAGCACCCAGAGAGGTTAAATATGCTGCTACAAGGGCCAGGGCTTTTTCGGTGGTGGCTCCTATCTGGTGGAATGAGCTCCCGGAGGAGACCAGGGCCCTGCGGGACCTGATGCAATTCCACAGGGCCTGCAAGACGGAGCTCTTCCGCCAGGCTTTTGCGTAGGAGCCGCCATGGTCACTATACCACCACCGCGTTGCCATTGGCAACGTGAACTGGCCTGGGAACAGAGAACCGACGTGGGAAGACCTATTAAGAATGAGACAGTAGTACCACCTGAAACATTGTATCAGAGCCCCTGCCTGGATGTACTATGTGAGCACTGATTTTATATGTAACTTGAAATTTGATTGTTATACTGATTTTACTGTTTGTATGGCATTGCCTCTTGTTAGCCGCCCTGAGCCCACAGTGGAAGGGCAGGATATAAGTTTAATAAAATTAATAAATAAATAAAATCTTTCTGTGTTATACCTCTGAGGATGCCAGTTACAGCTGCTGCCGAAACGTCAGGTCCTACAATGCCAAGACCACGGCCATACAGCCCAAAAAACCGACAACAACTAAAGTTCGAGTCTAATGGCACCCTTAAGATCAAGAAAGTTTAATTCAAGGCATAAGCTTTCGTGTGCATGCATACTTCTCCCGATACCAACCTGAATCTATAGATTACAAATGTAACTGGATAAATATGCATTGAAATAATCAAACATTGACTTGTTTTATAGTTCTTTACAATCCTGATTTCGTGTGTGTGTGTGTGTAGATGAGTTAGGGAATTGACATGAATCAACAATTCCACATTAAGTTTACCTCTTCTAAAATAAGTGTTTATGGGAACTCTCAGAGAGTCTGAAGATATAATAGTGGTTATTAATTGTAAGGCTAAGGCTTCTGAAATGGAGTTATAATATTTGAGTATTTGTGAGAATATTTGAGTACATTTTGCAAAGGGAACAGTGGATGTAAGGACTGTGCATGAGAAATTACTGCTGAAAGTATGCATGGTTTATTCTGGGATATAAATTGCAGTGGATTTTTTGGCATTGTTTGTCACAAATAGTGACCACATCTGCTTAGGATCGGTATAGATAATTCATATAAACATAATGCCTTTACTATATCTTAGGGTTTTTATATAGTAATGCTAGAAAAGCCTCTGTATTAATAATCTTTAGATGAAACTTTCTTAATGGCTTTTTAAAAGCAGAAATTATGTTCAGTATTTTTGGCAGGTCTGCTTTTCATTTGATTTGAAATCCAAAGCTATGGCTGTCTCCACAGTTTCTTGCTGTATAATGGATTTGATCTTATATGTAGCTGTGAATAATCATATTCTTCCCTGAGTCTGCTTCCCAAATTAAGAATAAATTGATATGATTCATCTGCAGATCTTTTTTTATAAGTGGCTTACAGAACATGTCACCAAGACTACCTTAAAAAAACCTGTACATTTACATCACAGAATACATAATTCCAATCAGCCTTGTGAATAACCCACCCCTTGTAAATTGTACACCTGTAGTTAGCTCATCTGTGTTGTTCAGATCCCAGGTAGTACATTTATAATACATTTCATGTTATGTTCTAATATCCATAACATGCTACAGCATGCTATTTTATGCATTTCAGTTCCTCTGAAGGTACTTCTGGTTTCTGCTACCACTTCCTAAACCCGTAAATACAATTTTTGCAGGGCTATGACTCACATAATATTGCTTAAAGCTTGCAGATTTTGCTGCTATGGCCATCTGGCCTTATGTTTTCTTAGAGCCAGCAAACACTTGTCTAAGTAGATGTTCATTTAATGAGTTGTGCAATTATATGTTCCATGTTCATTTTTAAGTAAACACTTAAAAACTTAATGCAATGGATTATTATGCATGCTATACATTTGCCAATATGTGCAGAGAACATGATTCCAGGGACTAATAAATAGCTGTATTTGGCATAGAATTGATACCTGATTCATGCTTTGCAGCTCTTGATTCTAGTCCCTTTCTTCCTTATCTCACATCACATATTTTATTTCTGCCACAATAGTAAAAGTTGCTATGCAAGATGGCTTTCCTTACTATCATATATTATTCTCTCTCTAATAAGCTAGAGTGAAAATCAGCAACAGGTTGTCCTAGGGCCAAAACCATTCCTTGGAGATATGCCACCTGGCCCCCAGTTGTGAACCCAAGCAAAAAAAAAACCCATCATAAGAAAAAAAAATGGTAGTCACAGCAAATGTAGATTACTTTGGTGATTGATGGCTCATTGTTCAAATCCTTTTTTTGAAAATAGCTGTTGGCATATCTGGTTGCTGATCAGGAGACTAGAGCCTCATAGGTTTTTTTGAGAAAGAGGATGGTAAAGGCTGGCCCTGAAACATTCCCATCAGTTTTAGAAGTGAACTCCTAAGAAGGACCATCTCCTCCTGCACCTGACGGGCAACCACCTGTCAGGTGGAGGAGTGTCTAAAGTCACTGGGGAGGCTGGCCCAGCAGCATTGCTAAGGTTTTTCTGTTCAGGCAGCTGCCCTGATGGGTTAAAGTACCCTGGCCCTGCTCCTACACCTGACAGACACCTGCCTGTCTGGTGTTGGGGGGGAGTGTGTTTAAGAGACATTGGGGAGGCTGGGCAAGCAGCAGTGCTAAGGCAATCCTGGTGAGCAAGCCTCCCCGATGGCTATAAGCATCTCACTCCCTCTCCTACACCTGAGAGGTGTATTGGGGGAATAGTGTAGGGGTATTG